GCCATTCAGCGATGAAGTCACTGGAGTAATCACCGAAGCAGTTGAAAGAGATAGAGAAAAGAATTACAAAGGACTACCCCCGGGTGTGGCAGCTGACATGCAATGTGACAGTATTGCAAAGGGAATATCTTCTCTAATAGGCGTGATTGCTGAGATGATTTTAGACATAATAACTTTTGGTCTGTACAGTTGGCTAAAAAAAAAGTACTTGGCATAACCTATGTGTTCTCGTTATATCGCCCGCTCACTTTTTTACATTACAAAGTTTAATTCCACCGAAGTAAAAGCTGTCTTAGGTAGAATGAATTCATAAAACACCATATTAATTTTTAGTGCTATATCTTTAACATTTACCAAGTTCTGTAATGTTTTGTGCACACTTACCTTCTCAGTAACGGTAATAATCTAATTTGAAACCCAGGAATGAAAAATTAGGCACATATCTGCCGACATAGCAAAAATAAAAACACATTAACTGTTGAGGTATAGTGCAAAATACTTCCGTCATAAAATTAGTTTGCAATTACCGATGTCAACTACCTATATACATAGATATGTACTTATATATCAGTATATTTGTAATACATACAAATGTTCTGTCCACGCAATTACAAATTCAATTCATGTGACTAGAGATATATGCATTGCAATTACCCAGTTAAGATTCAAATGGCAAATTTTCTAGAAAAAAAATATTGTTGTAACAAGCATTCATAACGCTCAGTAACCGTTCTGTATTTAATGCCAAATTTCATCACTAGCAGCAATCCAGTGCGTAATGTACAACAAAAACTTGAATTCATAACTTCAATTCACATCCATAGTTTGATGTGTACCACAGTAAAATTATATTATATATTCTTTGTATAATCTGTTTTTAAACTATACTTCATCGCCATATTTGACTATCTGTTTTTTTCTTCTTAAGGACTCTCCATTTTAGAACAAGTTTATATCGTCTTTCTGTGCAAGCTACATTCCATAGATACTTGACATGCATAGGAATATGATATATTTATTTCAATCAGCCTTGGTGATTTCCTTTTGAATGTTGTAAAATCCAGTCCAATATCAAATCAGAGAACTGATTCACATCATGTTAAACGATAATAAAACAGTGGTACGACAACATTTTTACTAGGCTAAGCGCAAATGTATTGCATTGTGTGGCTATGACAAAAATCTACAAACACTACAGTGCGGCTATAAGTGCTGGATGAATCTATTCCGCACGACCATTGGATGAATATTTTAAAGCTATTTCTCACAATGCTCGTCAACATAGATAAGATTCAGTACCACGATGAACCACAATGAATAGCTGACAAAGTTGCAATTACCCATTCTATAGCTTCGAAGAATTCATTTATAATTACTAAGAATGACAATATATGTGCTGCACAACGATTGCTCTGTCAGAATGATTAATATTTGTGTACACGCATGATTACATGTCATGAACAGAACTCCAAAGCATGCGACAGAATGAACAGCTGACAAAACAAAAAATAAACATTCAATAGTTCACCTTCGGAGAATTCATTCATTCTTAGTTACTAAGAAAGAGAGCTTACGTGCAAGGTCAACTTGTCCAGCAGTACAAATGTGTTCTCACAGACGAATGATTTACGTTAATGGTTTTAAATAAACAGTATTTGATAGACAAATAATAATGATTCAGTATCCAACAATTCGAAATAATATTAGCTTATTAAGTTGAATTTAAATCTCATTTTTATACAACTGCTATCAGTGACGGTATCTTTAATTCTCAATATTTGGGGAAATATTCTGTCACTTTTGATAAACCATGGGTTGACCTCAATGATATTTGTAACAAGAGAATAACACTTGTAATTGTCATGGCAGCAATTAACTAAATGGCTGTGATATGGCATGATCATTTTAAGAACACTAATGACCATGACAAATAGTTAATATCATATCGTACAGAACATTGTCTCACTATTTCGAGTGTTGGGTCGCCTGTTTGAAAGAAGCATGCTCGTGTTGAATATCCCGTACATGTAAATACCGAAACGTGCTTTAAATGAGGTGCATTCACCTCCGAATATAAGTAACAAATAGGAAGAAAGGTGTTTTCATCGCTTTGCAGTCGTTACCATGTTAATTTCCAAACAAAACAGTGGACAACGTAAATAATAGACCTGTGTCGTGGTTTGCCATAGAAATATGTGTAGTTGACATAGTGGAAGCGATTCTCACCGACCATCAGCATGCAGCAAAGACATAACTTATTATAACTATCTGATGCATTCAATCAAGTCTCATGTATGATTGTACATAGTAGATTTACGAGGAATGTGTCTGATGGAAGAAAAACAGTCGAAACTAAAACTAAACGCTCCATTGTGTAGCTTCGAAGAAATCGTCTCTTTGTAGTTATTAGGAAATCTACACATATACCAAAACACACCCAAACCGTAAGTGCTTGAGGTCAGCCTGTCCACCAGTAAGACAGACGATTATTATGTTTTATAATGTAAAAATAACTATTCAATTTAAGAGTGTACATATTTACATGACAACTGGGAAAGAGAAACGCAAAGTTGATAATGACGGGTAACAAAAAATGTATATAGAAAATTTGCTTATTTGTTGCTGTCAAGTAAAATTATTCAAATTATGTTTGTGTGATTCAAATAGCTGTTACTATATAAGGACAACATGATACCGTCAGAATAAAACGCACTTTGTCATTGAAAGTGTCATTATATATAATTAATGTGTACACGTAGAATAGTGATGTTCCATACTACCTGTGGCTATGAGTCTGAACCATAAGCTGAGCCATAATTTAATATAATCAGTACTCAGCATGACAAAATGAATATCACCAATATATTTTTTTTGATTTTAATATACTGCATTCATTTTTTTGTTTGGAATGATTCAAATTGCGAAGAAATTATTTCCAATGCAATGTTTGTGATGTGTAACGTGTTAATCGAAATTGGCGAAGTCATGTTTGATCGAGTTGATCATATAAAATGACAGGTGTTGAGACAAATCCTCGCGAGACGGCGACATAGTAAAATATATTAGTATATATGTTTATTTTTCTGTTTTTGTGCGACACAAATGTCAGCTAGTCAAATAGCATAGAATCCCATTACAAATCGACGTTCCTACATGTTTTGTTGAAAATTATACTTTGGTATTAAGCATATCTAAGACGTCTGATGCACGCGCGTACACTATGATACATCAACATTGCGATTAAGCAGAACACTTAATGACGTACGGTACACCATGCAATGCAGGAATACTGGAAAAGTAGTTACTGTTTTATTATTAAACACTATAAGAATTTCAAATCAATGACAGATTTAAAATGCAAAAACACTGCTTTTCTTAGATACTTCCGTACAAAGTGTGTAACTGGAAAAGCTGTTCATTCTTGAATACTAAAACAATATATTATTAATGAAAATTAACTGGATAGATTTTTGTATTGTAATGTAAGCAATGAATATTTTCAATACATACAAACGTAGTTTGAGCAAACTGAAAATATGGATGTATGGATGAAATAATAAATACTAATTTTGTTTTAATGACTGTTTTATCCAGGTACCAACTGTATTATTCTATTTATAGTAATAGTTTGAACGTTTGATTCTTCCTATCAATCTCAACATCATTAAACGTTGTAGTAGAGTTTTTGTACATATTGATCAAAGCGTACGTTACGTATTCTATAGAACACATAGCTATATCTAATTATTCTGAACGAGAAATGAAGCGTACTTAAGGGGGTCAACATTGACAAACCATATTGTTATGATAACCAGTTTTGTACATTCTTAGAAATGTATAATAATTAATCAATCACACTGTCAAGTATAAAATAATTTTAAAGCTTAAGATACGTAACGGGCATCTACATTTTAATGGATACCAAAGCATTGGTCATTGAAGGTTTCATGACCATTTAAATAACCAATGCAACAACATCATTATTCCGTTATCGACATCAAAATGGTCAATCAAAACATTCACTACTCAGAGGGCAATCATTCGATGTGGTATATACATAGTCTCCGATTTTTGTTGAATTCTAATAAATGCTGTAGCTATCTGAAAGTAAAAACGAACAACTTAAAAATCAGAACATTTAAATCAGACATTTAAAAAATCTTATGCAAAATAGTTTTATCAACAATGTTAGAACTATTTCTCAAATATCATTTTAACAAATACGAACGCTTTCTTTCCAAATTCTATGAAGATGGAAGTGATACTTTCAATGACTGTAGCGTTTAACCCATTTGCAATTTCTTCACTTTGTTTGTTACTACCGCCTGGTCCGCTGTAATTCTTTTTCCGGTCTTCCTCGATTACTCGCTTCACGCGATCTGTTAAGTTGCTAGTGAAGGCTTATCACCGTTTACCGTTTTCAGCTTCTCAATAATTTGCAACAGTTCAGCAGTTTGACGCTCTTTGACTTCAACATCTTTAGTCTTGTTGTTGAACGCTATGGCACGACAATCACACTCGTCCAATAGATCAGCAAGAAACTGTGGGACGTCGGACAAATACTCATCCAATGACGTATCATCCTCGTCAAGTCGATCTTTTCTGGTAAAAAGTAACACTACGTATTTCATCATCTCTTCACCAAACAGTTTTCGGAGATACAAAATTGTATGCATGTGTTCCTTTGTCATGCGCTGATCAGCACTCATTGTTAAAATAATTGCATCAAGGCCGACACCTTGACTCATAGCAATACCGATACATTTCGATATTTCAGTGGCTAGCATTTCTGGAGTCATTTCCTCGTGAGTATCGAACAAGCCGGGGGTGTCGATCACCACAACGTCTCGATCTCCAATAGCACGTTTACCCCATTTAATATATCTTGTCTTTGACACAGATGACAATGTCGACTCAAACTCACGTCTTCCTAAGATGGTGTTACCAGTGGAACTCTTACCAGCACCTGTTGGACCAACTATAACCAGAATAACGGTTTCACACCCACCATCTTTGCTAGCCATGTTTTCTAAAAATATATAGAATGTATTAGTATCATAGCTAACTGACATTAGTTTTTTTATCTGGGACTCGAAAATTATGGAGCGTAATACAAAAAATAAAACGCCACTTATCCAACCATTTATGTCGTTACTGACACTTACAAACCGATTTGTAACTTACCTATAGTGTAAAACACAAGTTGTACATCACAGAGACGGTTTGCATGAGTATGGCAAGACGTAGCCGCTTATCGCCCTCAGCGAATAATGTGTGTTATAAGTTACCCAGACTAGGTGGACAAAACGACACACACGCGTTTAGGTTATATTTACAGGAAGTTGGTAGAATTTAATTACGAGTGTTTTGGCGCCAGTGACTTACAAACATCATGTCATGTATTGACTGTTTTGGCGCCCTTGGCCCACAGACACCGTGTCGTGGATTGACTGTTTTAGATACGACCTTCGCCTTACTCTTCGCAATTTAATATACCTGTGCCAAACACAAATTCTTCCATAATTCATAACCAATATAGTTGTTAATATTTAATCTAATTCGATGATCGTGTGTTTAAGTTACTTTGCTCCAACTTCGGGTTGTTTTCACGTACCTAGCCTGGGTAAACTGACAGGAAGTCGATTTATAGTATAGGCGAAAGGTCAATCTGTCCTGCGTATATTGAAACATGTTTTGAAATAAACAAAGACTAAGTACTAGATTCTGAATAAAGGATGATGTCATGCGTGGTACGAGATTGTCTGCTAGCGTTCACATGTTAATTAGTTCTCCGTAGATGTGCGTCATGAATAAACTAGAATTTTAGTTGAGTAAAGAGCAGATGCCTTATTTTCGGTTTCGCCAGCAATCGAGTATAATCATAAGTAAATGTTTTAGGTAATCATATACACACCAACATTCTATAGTGCCATCAACGTCTTTGAACTTACTATTAAATGACAGTGTCCTGCCAATAAATTGGAGTTGTTGGATACGACTTGCATGTTACGCTTAAAGGTTAATAATTTGCTTTTTGCTGTTTGATATGGCATAGGCCAATGCGCTTGCGTATAGTCGTGGTCACGAGGTATAACTGACAGTATCGTGATAATGTTGTTGCGTACACGACGTATTATCCTTTAAACTCACCAACGCTCGTCGCAAGTAAACACATTGCCTGATTAGGACTTTGTATACTATTAGAAAAATTCCACTGGGTTTACATAATAGCCATGAGTATCGATAGCAGAAGTCCATTGAGGAAAGACACCGTATCTATGGTGTTGGTCGGTATGATAGGAAGCGGTAAAAGTTCAACTGGCAACAACATACTCGGCGTGGAAAGATTCCGAAGTCGGCGTTCATTGGTGTCTATCACGCAAGAAACAGATTGGGGAACAAACATCGGTGAAAATAACTTGATCGTCATCGACACCCCGCCTATACTTCTACGCGATGGCAGCACTAATAGAGGGAAGGGTGGTCCAACTCCGAAGTCTGTGGCTCTAGAAATCAGCAAGTGTACCGAAATCGCCAACATGGAAGGTGGTGGACTGGATGCCATTATTCTGACGTTCAACATCAATGATAGGCTCACGCCAGAACATCAGAAATGTCTGAGGGATCTGGAACTAATTTTTGGACCGGACATTCATCGATATTTGATCGTTCTATTTACAAGGGAAGATCAGTTATCGGACGACGGTGTTTCTTTGACAGATTTTCTGCTAGACACTCCTGAATTTTTAAGAAATTTGCTTTATAAGTGCGGTAACAGAGTATTAGCGTTTGATAACAAGACAAAAGATAAAAACACTCGACAAACTCAGATAAGTTCGTTGATGAGTATGATTCACGTGATGAAGAAGAAAAATAACAATAAACCATACGACACTGATATAAGGAAGAACGTTGTTGCGATGTACAGTAGCCGGAATGAGTTGAGCCCTGGCTGCTTTGCGTGTTGCCAACAGTGTGTTATTATATGATTACAAAACACTTCGAGATTGCTTGGAATACTACTACTGCATTTCAGTTCAAATATTTTGTTTTGCTTACCAATGATATTTCGATATTTGCTTCACATGAATGTAAATTCAGTATATGTTTACCTAAACACCAAACCCGTGCCACTGCTGTGATATTATCATGTCCAATTATCAAGACATATAAAAGTTACACATTATATATTAACCAACTTATTCAAGATTTAGTCAAATCTCCAGCTAGTAAAATATTGGTTTTAAATATGTTTCGTGCGGATTGTCGTTTGTTAGTTCAAATCATGTTTACTAGAAGTTGTTATGTTTAATTTTTGTAATAGATAAAATAATACACGATTTAGTTTATTTTTTCAGGGCTGAGTTAAATTTCACAATATGTCTGTGTATGCGTGTTCCCTCGGGTGTGTTCTGCAATGTCAGAAGCAACTTCTTTCCACGGATTATTGAATAGCAATTAAATTTCTTTTGATAAAATGCGGACTTTTGAAAAAATCAAAACACCCTTATTTTATAGGAATACAATGAAGGGCGGAGATACGTTATTATTGTGTTGTTAGTGTGAAAATATTGTGTATGATTGGTGGCAAAACCATACATCACTGTAAGTAGCGCCCTCTGTCAGCGATTGTGTAGATGTTTACAAAATGTACATGCAATGGTATTACAATCTCGTTCCAGTCGATAGATTTTAAACCTGGTACGAATTTTAAGATATTATTACATATCTCATGATCATTTAACACATATTCGGTAAAGCAGTGATAATTAACATCTATATAATAAACCCTTACAAGGTTTCGGTATCATGCTGAATTAGTGCATATGAGATAAACTTGAACCAATCAGCATATACGCATTACCATGTACTTCAGCGTTCAACTATTGGTAGCGGCAAATCTGTCATTTTTTGCGGGGTCCAATTGTTTTATTCTGCCAAATCATCTTTCAACTCATATTGTTGGGAGGGGAAGGCATTCTTCCTGGAAATTGATGTTGAGCGGCCACGACCGCATCAGTTAAAATGCAACCACGGCCCGGGATACACAGTTGTAAAATAGATGAGTTCATTTTTGGCGTCGATTGTGTGCACTTTTTCACCAATAAATATCTATTACTGAGGTTTATATGAACAGAGCTTTACAGAAGACAAATATTATCCGGTTTTAATACTGAAAGCTAAAATTGCAGGCTCACTGCAAACCAAAACCCACAATACTTGTAACGCGAACTTAGATTGTCATAAAACTTATTATACATGCCAATGTTCATAGCTATATTTTCGAAATTAGTGTCTTCGACAATCGCTGCAAAATGTGAGACTTTTTAATTCGTGAAAACAAAATTTCGCACAAAAAGCCATAAAATGACGAAAATCTTGGTGCTATGAAAGCCACAGGCAATGTACACAGGACAGATAATCTCCAAATAATAAAATACCCTGAGGCACAGCGAAGTTGTCGGTACTGTAGGACTAACGTTATTCAACTTAAAAAGGTTCAAAAGTACCAACGTATGCTGAAGGTATGAGAGGCATACGAAACAGAAATGGAAAATATTTTAAATTGAAATAGTTAGATACAAAAATTTGGTGGCTATATAATATGTCTTGAGATGTGAAAACAATCAGAGAGCACCAAGTATTTGCACCAAGTTCCGTACATGTAATTATTATGTTTTGCACATGATCATAGCCCACCTATGTACCAAGTTTCATCGGGATTCGATGAGTGGTTCTTGGGGAAATTCAAAATCAGCAATCAATCAGAAAATGAGCAAAATAACGTAGTTAGATTTGTGTTGTATATTACGGCATTCGTGAGCTGCACTAATCGAACAAATGACGTAATACGCTGTTTATCGACTAAAATATGCTAAGTAAAACGGGAGTTATTAATCGTCCTATAAATTCGAAACGCGGAGACTTAATGTCGAGAACTAATGTCTTCATTTCAGTTTAATTGTATTGAAAAATGCTCCTCATCTAACTTCGTCGGAGAATCTTGTGTACATTTCAGTAACTTTATGAAGACTCAATTACAACCAAATCACGGAACTGCCTGGCGATGTTCGGCTATTGGAAATAGCTTCTGACACATATATTTTGCGTATACCATAATTGTCACACCTCACTGATGTTACGCATGCTGTGATTGGTTGAGACTCGGTCACATGACATTGAATAAAAATGGATATTACATGGCATATTGCCCAGTCTGACGCGAGGGTTCGAACTACTTTGGTTTTTCGTGAGATTAGTAACCATACATTGCAGTTTTGTACAAAAATTCCATTTGTTAATGAAGGCTTTTTTAAAAACGGTAATTTGACGATCTTCTATTTTATGTTTACTGACATCAAGGACACGTTTTATTCACATTATCAGTAGAATATCACAGGTCACAGATAATGAGCCAAGTTGCTATTTTCACCACACACTCCACCATAACTCCCGAGTTAGTGTACACAATTTTAAGACTCTGAACTTGCAAATGTGGCAATGTTGAACTTCGTGTGTCCACGCCCCCCTCGTTCCCGTCAATACCCTGACGGGCACAAAGAGTGGGAACCCAGGTAGGTCTATGGTTTGAACCGGGGTTTCGAATTTGTGTATCGGCTGTATATGTACCCTTATTCCAGCCAAGTCATTCAAAATCATATCATGATTGACTTTCATAATAAATATGACACGGACCTCGGGCTGCCAAGCCCATGAACACCGTAGGATTTTCCATACCTGGACTCTGTGGCAAGGATATAAAAGTATTAAATTACTATGAGGGTCGGCAAGTGGTATTTTCCTAAGCTGTAATCAATTGATTTTATTTTCGTAATAATGTAATTTATTAAATAAAAAACGTAAATTCGTAGACATGGGCAAGGTGTAAAATGTAATCAGCTATTGTATTCGTCCGTAATTTGTACAAAGATCTTATTTTTCATAAGCGTATAAAGCATTTTCCAAATTAAATGACTTAGTTCTCATGCAATTTCCAAAATTATTAAATATATTGTGAAAATGAAATTAGGAATTTGCTTTATCTGTAAAGTGTAAAAACCCATTTTTATTGTACATGGAACTTTCATTATTTCTCGTAAACACGAAAAATGTCTTTTTTTTTGTAACCTGTATCAGCTATCCCCTTACTATGTATTAAATTTATTTCGCCATTTCAAAATTATACAAAAAACATACTATATTAATAAGTTTTTTTTGTAGCAATCATTTGACTTCAATATTCTTGCAAGAAAAAGAACAAATATAAAATACAAACCTATCATCGTAACTTTTTTAGTACGATATAGCCTTTAGTGTCGCGTTATGTTGTGAATATATCCTGCATAACCTTCTCATATTTATATGCCATCATTTTCAATATTGCCGCTTCCCAGTGCATATTTGATTGGTAAAATGCTTCTTAGTTCAAATGAATTGCTAAATTACCCACGAACGAAAAGTACGTGATCTATTCGATAGCCGTGCCATTGTCTGTAAAAATCAGTCGGTAAAATATGTAATTTCAGTTACCGTGAAACTACTAATTTATTCGATCTACGTTGCCCTGCTATATCTGTGAAATTCGGGCGGTAAAAAATATAATTGCTGCCACCGTCCAACTCCATGGTTTATTCGACCCAAACTATCATGCCAATAACTCCCCCAAAAAATCTGCATCATTCAATCGAATAAAAAAGGATTCAGTTTAAACAGCAATCATCGGAAATGAACAAACAAAGGAACATCACAATTCAATCTTCGTCAGTTATTTTTTAGTCTTCATCTTCTTTGTCAATACTCTAAAATACGCAATCTTATTTCATTGTGTTTCTGATGATTTAAAACAATTTTTATGAAGCTCAACCTGATCATGATACATGCATAATGTACCGTTTTTAATGGTTTTGAGTAAATCGTCTGAGTATGTGACATTTGAACATTCTACATTATGTTTGTTGTGATACCAATGAGCCAGTAGAATGTCATCAAACCAAAATCTGTGTCAATGTCGACAATGATACCTGGCGTTTCTTTAGTACCAAAAATAAATGAAGCATAATAAAAGAAAACCGAGTTTTCTTGCCCACGGGCAAGGGCAAGGGCGGAGCTTCGTATTCTAATTTGACTGTGATTTAACAACAACAACTGTCGATCGATCGTTTATTGTACAGAGACAGTAAACGTCTATGCTTATCTCCTGTTTATGTGCTTATCCAGTAATCTAAACTGTGTGGGGAAAACAATCAACTCATTTCTAGAGTCTTGGCAGCTTTCGGGAAACAAAATTCAAGTAGGGAATACATGTATGCCACATGTTCAATAAATGCCTTGCCGTGTCCAGCAAAAAAATGTCTCGTCCACTCGCAATAAATAACATCTGATAGGATCATTTCCACTAATGTGAAATAGATCTGCATCTCTGGTAACTGCACTATGCAGATTATCCATGTTTAGCTAAGAACGACTCCCGATATATGCATTTAGTAGAATAAAAACTTGTTTGGGTTTTACATGTAACTTTTCATGTTCAAAGAACAGGAATACCTGACCCTGGATAAATCCATGACAAGAAAACTCATTGCAGCTAAAAGGTATATGTACAGGTTTAATAATAGAAAATAACAGTTCAGGGAATACGAAGTTTCGGAAAGAGAGACGCGAACCAATTGTGTATAACGAGAATGTTTTAGTAACGATAACAGCCAGTCACCCAGAAAGCACACACCTGTGAAAAAACAAAAGTTTACAATTATATTTAATCAACAGTCTCAATATGTAACCAGTATTTAATTAATATGACAATACGGATAATTGTATTTAATATACTGGATCAAATGATTACAATTTACACTAAAATCGCAAGAAAATGAAAGAGGACTAGCGCTGAGTGAAATTCATTTCATGTTAAAATGACACGCACATTTTACAAGATGCGTTATTTCATTATATATGACGTACGGAATTTGTTTATGTCACAATAACTCGCCCTTGAACGTTAATATCAAACACACTTTATTAGCTTCGGTCGTGTTTTATACTCGCCATTTAGAAAATGTCGCGTAAACCTGGGCAGCGAAACCACACTAGGTCTGCGTAGCCATCTTGGAACTGAAAAACGTCACCCCAATGAACCGGAGGAATATAAAAATGTCTTTGTTGAGCCACAGTAAAAATAACGCCGTTCGATGCGCTATCATACAACTTCTTTGTATAGTTATGTTTTTTGGTGTAACAATTCTGAACTTGCAATTG